TCTCTCTCTCTCTCTCTCTCTCTCTCTCTCTCTCTCTCTCTCTCTCTCTCTCTAGCGCGCGCACATTCTTTCCTGTGTCACTGCTTATGTTATGTCTGTGTATTGCTGTGTATGTGTCCCATGAAGACGAGCAAGGGATTGAAACTGGTGAAGCTTTACGACCCCTGGGGCCTGAAGGTGAGACCAGAGGAGAACATAAAGCAACAGTCCCAAATGTTCACATGTCTAATGTAACTAGAAATAATGAAATACATCTCGACTTCAAATACACCAATTAGAAGGCCACCTGTTCCTCTAATTGTGAACACAAAGCAACTGTCCCAAATGTTCACGCATATTTAAAAATATTGAATAATGATACACCACACGACCTAAAATATGCCAACTAGAAACGGCCCGTCTTTCTAATCCCTTAGAGTGAAAGACGGGTCTCCTGGGGACCCTTTGAGGTGGCGTGAAGCAGCAGAGCGCAATGGCTCGAAGTTGCATGGGTGGGGCATGGGGGCATGGATCTTATGTCAATGGGCGCTGCCTCGGCTGAGGTCTCCATGCCGAGATGGCTCCACCCACCTGCAACATATCTGGCGATATGAGTGTGACTGGAGATTTACTCTGTGGGTGTGGGTGTCATGCATGGGTGTTCAAGGGGTGTTGTTTCTATACCATGTATGGAGCCATTGACAAGTTTTACAAAGCTGCAATCAGACTCGCTTTCTTTCACACTTCACATGCATGTAAACAGGTAGCGCAGCAAACTGGCGACAAGTGCCCACTCAAAACTTAAGAGATATGGTAACCAAGAACGCAGTTCAGATACAAGCTCACTTCAGATGGCTATGGTGCATCAACGCCTGTACAACCCTTTGTTCGTCCCTGTACTCAACTCCGCTGTTCACACACACTCAACTCAAGATCACCCTGGATATCCCACACACGACACACTGTACACAAACGCACACACACGCTACACTCTTCTTCCAGCTATGGCGGCTATGGCCGCTACTACCTCTACCGCTATGGCTAAGCTCTCCTTCGGCCCACTTCGTCTTCGGGCATACTGCAGACCACCTCGCACAAGTCGCGGTGGCAGCGCTTCCGCATGGCTTACGCAGGAATGAATGAATGGCTGGGCGCTGCCTCTTGATTTATACTCCTGTAACTCGTTGGTCTGCCCCTTTCCCATGCCCGTGGTGCACACAGTCCCATACGGTACTTGCTTGACTGGACTAGGACTGACTGGGACTGGGTACCGCTGACTCAGCACGGGTGGACTCCACCACTTGCCCACTTGCCTCTGGACTACTCTGAGCGACGTGTGAAGGGCCACTTCCGGAGCTTCCGGAAGTCTGTAGTCTTGGCCCTTCGTCACTGTAGCAGCTACGACCTTGACCTTTCAGGACTCCTACAGCTACGACTTCTAGAACTCACTGAGACCTCTATTCGACAGTTCTACAGATCGAACCCCTACAACCTACGGACCCTACGACAGTCTACCAGCTGTTACGAATACACAGGTCGCGGGTTCAACTCTCGGGGTCGACACAGGTAGTGTACACAGGTAAGGTAAGGACTAGGGATCGAGCCCTGGGATCTGCACTCGTTACTGCTAACAGGTGAATACCGTTTCAGAGCCAGCATCAGGGCGGTTTTGGCACAGGTGATCCTAGATACGAAGCCCTGTCATGAAGCTGTTCTAGGGAAGACGGAGGTATGAACAAAGGTGTGGGCATCAACGTGCTTGCTGTAACAAGGTTGGCCTGAATGATCAGCACATATTCAGCAGTTGGACATTGATATGACATTGGTCACCTATTGGGCTTTGACGTGTGCTTCGTTGGCTTTCCCTGTTAAAAGGAAGGGAGAAGCTTTGTGTGCAGTTCTTCTGCTGTTGGCTGACTAGAAGGCATTGGCTCTCCATTGGGGGCTTTGGTATGTGTTACGTGTTTCTGCTTGTGATAGGTTTGTCTGATTCTTGAGTTCTTGCTGTGTTGAGAGGGTGGTAATGAAAGGACGGTAGAGAGAAAGATCGGTGAGGTAACACAGGTGGTCTTTTCAGACAAGTCGGAGACTTTGTTGTCGATATTGCTGCTGGAGGGGCTTTTGGTAGACTACTGTGGAAAATTTTAGGATCACTGTGAGGCAATGTGGGGGAAAGTTAGAGGTAGGCAGGGAGTGTGAGGCAGAGAGAATGAAGCGGTGATTGAGAGTAGACTGCTTTGCTGAGTTTTTCATTGGCTCTTGTCGGTGGTGGTAGAGTCTCTAATTGGAAGAAGGGATACACTGCTTTGATGAGGGGATCTGTGTTTTCTTGTAGGACTGCTCACCTCCTGATGGGCAACCTCATGCCCCGCGCAGCATTCAGCACCCCTTCGGGGCCACAAAGACCAAAGTGGGGGCATGGCCGAGGATTTTAGGCGGGGTTTGAAACTCCAGGGCAAAACGCAAATTTCCCGCATCAGATCAACAGGTCCCTTCACGGTGAGGGGAGAGAAGATAAAATCAACAAAAGAGAGGCGTGTAATGAACCCGGTCTGGCAGATACTCAGAAATTGTCAAACATCAGTAGTCTCATTATCTGCATCAAAGTCTCCAAATCGTGAAGTGAAATCTCAAACAGTACCTCATTACCATCACAAGAAGAGAGTGGAGGGGGAATAGACAAAGGAGAATATGAAAGATCACACAGTAATAATCCCTTCAGACCCCTCGTCTTCTCCGGGCTTCTTTCCTCTCCACGTCAACAATGATAATCAGTATATTCCTGATCACACACAATAGTGCCACGTGGCACTTCATCTCGTGAAGAACATGAAGACACAACAGATTCCAGTGACGACGTCAACCTTAGGTGAGTACCCGACCTCCTTCATCCACAGATCCCGATCTTCCTCCTCCTCGCAACCAGTCACCTCATGTAGACAGTATGCACAATGTCACATCAACAGTCGAGACAGGTGGCATATGCCACATCAGCAATGAAGACCAGTGGCAGCGCTGTCGAGCGCATCGGTTCGGCACCGCACAAGCGGGGCGGGACCCTCCCGGCCTCGTCACGCAGGAGTCGGTCTGATCCTCGTCGTGAATACAAATGGAGCTTCCATAAACCGCTCCGGCCGAGTGCGCCAGCCATACCTCTCGCAAGCCCCTACGACAGGATGGGGCCTACTTGAGGCACGACTTACCTCCACCTTACGGGAGATGTCACCTCCCTTCGGTGGGCGTATCCCCGCCGAGCTACCAGTCCACAGTACGAAAGCTAATCAGTTCCAATCGTAGAGGTGGATCAGTCGAGGGCGTCACCTCCCTTCGGTGGGCGTATCCCCGCCGAACTACCAGTCCACAGTACGAAAGCTAATCAGTTTCAATCGCAGAGGTGGATCAGCCGAGGGCGTTTCTCGTTCGCTGTAGCATAGGGGGTACGCGCGGTTTTACGCCTCTATCGGACCCGCACGCGAACCGACGCCTTGGGGGCTTGAGGTCCCAAGCATGGCTCGTCGTCGGTCGACTAGGATGCATCCCACACACCACGCGTACACCACTCTAAAGAACATAAAAATAAACACACACACACATACACATACATATACAGAACAACACAGAACAAACACTGTGATAACACTCCTAGTCCCTTAGTAGCCATCCCATAACTCTTCGATGCGGAAATCGGATAGGCGTCGCGCGCGAGACTTAGTATAAAACCGCGCGGATGCAGGGCTAATCTCATATCGACTCGCAATGCAAGCATACGCAAGCAGTCGCAATGATGGCGTACTATGTAGTACCCATACTCATGCGGTCCTCGTTAATCTCGAGGGTCGCATTCGACACTCATGTGTCGACTGACACGCGTCTTGAGGGAGTGATCTCTCGACGTTGGACAACCGCCAAGTGCGGTTGAGAACCACACCCTCTTCTGCACCCTGCGGAGAGTGGGTGGTACAAAGGTTCATACCTGTGATGGCAATCGTCTCTTATCACCCCGGAGACCAGCTCCATCATCTAGGGTCTGGGGAGAAATCAAGGGGGTTGATTTTAACGGTTGCCACGGACTACAACGTCCAGCTATAAAAGCTCTAAAAAGCAAAGGATAACAGGGAATCTCACTTTTTCTCCCAAAAACATAACCTGTTTAACCCTAACGCGCGGTCACGGTAGGCCGCACGAAACACTCAAGGCATATTTATTTACATATATATAGAGGGTTATGAATATGTGACGATCACTTCTCACAATCACATTGGGACTCCTCTCAGCCATATATGTGTATATGATCGCAGACAGTCAAATCCAAAGTCCGAACCACCAAACATACCTGCAATCACATCAAAGATTCAACCAAAAGTCCATGCACTACGAGGGGTCAACTTCAACCATTCTTTGCGCTCACACCCCTTGCTTTACCCATACAAACCTCACTCTTTGTGCAACTCTCACAATAAAATACTCAGTAGCTTTATTAAATGGCCATGCAAATAAAGTCCGGGCGAAAACACAAAAAAACAATTCAAACCACAGGGCTAAAGCCTTTAGGTTGAGTGACAAGAGTGGATTGGAGTTGAATCGTAAACCTACGAATCGGCAACCGACCTGTTATTAGTGATAATAGAAGATGATCCTTATAGGATTAAGTTGGAACTTAATCCAAATCTTGAATCTGAATGACCAAAAGGATTAAGTTGGAACTTAATCCAAATCTTGAATCTGACTAACTCCTTGGTTTTGTAGAAATTTCGGCAGCGCTTCCCGTAGAGAAACTGGCTTACCAAGATTTATACAAGACCAAGCATAATAAATGATCCCAAAAAATGCAGAAATTGACCTAAGTAAAATAAACTTAGCTCAGAAAATGCAGGAATTGGAACTAACTACTATGGCTCTAGCACGTGGTGAGCATCTAAAGCAACTACCTGTGAAACTGAAACTCAGACTAAGTAGTAGTCTCACTTAGCCACATGCAGGCCAAACCATAAAGGTAAGTACTCTCACCAGTCCAAAGTCAACTTATCCAACAATAGTTCATAGTCTTTCAATGATTTATCCCTTTATACCCAACTTACATAAGGCATAAAGCTAGACCACCTAATCTTATGGGAACCTGTCTAGCTCAGCCATAGAATATACACAAACATAGGGCATTACAACTTTCTCTTCTTTGGGCACATGACTAGGCCACCCTAGTCGCCCTGAACCATTTAAGTATCCAAGTTATATATAATTGTCTGCACTTTGT